TCACTTTTAGGATCAGATTATTTCTACGAAGACAWCTTAGCAGTCAGAATGAACTTCGCTACACGGGAAGCAAGTTAGGTACGACTAATGGTCCTGAGAGTGACAGTGAAAGGAAATACATATAACTGCGTCAAATAGAAAAAAGAAAAAAAAGAGAGAGGGAGAAAGAAAGAAAGAGACTGTAAAAGGGAGGGATTTGACACGAAGGGCAATAACAGGGAGCAAAGTTCGTAGAAACAAGCTTACATTTACATGTGCGCGCGCATGGATATAGTTGGAAAATAAGAAATTAATGTGGCACTTGCCAGAAAAGGACGATGGTCCGAGTACAAATATGAAATGAGATAGAGTGCAATAATAGAGGCAAAGGACGGAAAAGAGAAAAACATATACATATGAGTGCATGGATATAGTTTGGAATATGGAATTATGTGGCACTGAGAAACGCTTTGCAATCTCTAGTAATTTAGGAATTTAACCCCTAGAGGACCGGCGTTTATTTGTTGATTTTGGAGCATTTTCGACCCTAACATCTTGATAAAATAATTGACTTCCATATAAGGTGCTGTCAATAAAACTATTTCGGATTTGAATTCCCTAGGCAGCGTTAATTTATGCAGGATTTTGTAAATTTAGGCCAGACCGTTTGTTTATCGACCGGTTGAGCCTAAATTTACCTAAAAACCCGTTTATAAGTGCTTTTTGAGCGTTTTGCTGCCACAGGAGCCCCTAGGTTTGCATCATTAAGCTTGACTAGTCGGCAGAGACAATCTTCTGGAAGAAATCAGAGGTGGAAAGCGATTTTTCGAAGACAATGGCTCTAAGTCACGGTTTGCTTTGAACTGGAGACATCATTGTAAGATCGCTTTCCTGGTCCTTCAATATTCTGTGGCAGAATTTCCAACCTACTAAGGTAATTTTGGCAATATTTGACAACCAAAGAATGAAGTCGACCCAATATTTTGCCTGTAGGTACGGAAGAGCTCACACTTCTCAAATAATTCTTAAATAAAGAATACTGGAAGATTAATGTCCAAATTTTGTCTCTTCCCGTGATGCATTTCGGTTGTTCACAGGAGTTTGTTGTACCGGGTGTTCAAAAGAGGGCTGTTGAGAGGTCTGCAGCGACTTTGAAAGAATAAAAATGGCAAAACGAGGACGTGCTATAAAAGGGGATTG